ACTGAGTATAACGGGAGCATTCAGAAAAAGTAACACCAGGCTCACCTCTATAATGTTGAGCCTGAGCTTCATAGTAAGCTATCTCAAATTCAGATGCCTTTGTAGGTACTCACTATCATAATCATGTTTATGTTCTAATCCCCCAATTATTTCATTTATTTTCTCTATATTCATTCGCTACAAGGTTAACTCATTCATTAAATCTTTAAGGGTAGGGGAACTAGAGGAAGGAAGGTCATAACTAGTAGAGGGGATATCTCTACTAGTAGAATGTTCTTTACTCCTACTCCCAGATCTCCATCCTTCATGGCGTCTTTAAATTAGTTTTACTAATGGGTTTCATAGGGTAAACCCATAATTCATCATCTCCAGCTTCAACTCCAGAAAGTTGGCAAAGTGCATAAATGAGGCCAGGATGTCCCAAACCTCCACTTAATTCACTCCTTGTTGTGGTCAAAATATTCTTATAAATAATTCTCCCCACATTTATAGTCTGACTATTCTGAATACAGAAATTTAGAATAGCTCTATCTCTTGTTACCTCACTATGGTGATAGGTAGTTAACAGAGTAGAAGAAATAAAATAGTGTCACACTTTAGATGTGACATTCAACATAGAAGCAGAAAAATTTACCCGTTCTCGCTGTTTTATCTTCAATGTCCCTTTCCCATCAGTGAGAAAGTTAATGACATCGTTCAATGGGCCTTCCATTGTACTGAAGGTTTCATAATCGCAGATATAGGAGTCTGGGACTTCATAAAATGAGTTAATGCAGACAGCACTAAACTCAACAGAAAACCCTCTTACTCGAACGGTTTCGTCCTCAAAATAGAACACATTGGCATATAATTCTTTCACAACATTCACAACAGCCTTGTTGGTGGTATAACAGATATTTTCCCAGCTCTATTTGGTAATAACTCGTTTGACTTCTCCTTCCAGACTCTCAAAAACACGATCTTGTATACATTTCTTCCCTTGAAATATTGAAGTAAATCTCGACAGAGTCTTCGCATTGATGAAGACAGACTTGTCAAACTCAAGTCGCCTCTTTTATCGCTGAGCCATTTCAATCTAATCAAAATTATTAAAAAAAAATTCCGATAATGGCTTCCAAGTGTGATAAAACTAAGTTCCATGAATTTCTTCCAAATATTTTCTCCACATTCTCAATTTTTTTGGATCTCCTCAATGTGGAATAAATTCAAGGTGAAAATCAAATATTTTTAGTTTGGAGTGAAGCTCTTACCGAGAGTTGATAAAATCCGATGTCTAAACGCTTTGAATTAAATGCTTTGAAATCACCCCAAATCCAAGATCTTCATGCCCTAGATTGAAATTTTCATTTTTTAAGAGGAAAGGGATGATGAATAGTGGATGTTGACTGGTCAAAATCGCGGTTAAAAGTGTTTTTTTGGCATCTCACCGTCGATGGGGTCGTCAGCGCCATCGGCGAGCTCTATTGAATTAAATAGCCTAAGTCTCAAGAGAAATCCGCCGTCGGCGGCGTCGATGGCGCCGTGGGCGAGATGTTCAAAATTAGTTCAATTCTAGATTTTTGAGATTTCAATCAATTTCAAGCCTCGTTGACATCGTTCAATTATTCTAGACATAAATTTAAGTGCTTAAATGATGTACTAACACAAATAAACATTCACAACACAAAACATCACAATTATATATAAAATCCAATGGTTACAATACACGTTACACGACACACATAAGTTTGGTATTTTCTCAACCTTAATACATCAATTCAGCGTTGCAATCCAAGCCACAACACTCTAAACGTTGAAAACAAACATTTTATGCTCAATCTCAACTATACTGAGATCTAAAAGCAAAATTCAAAAGTAAAGCAAAGACATAAGTTCAAATCAAATCACACACATAGATATATAGGTAGTAAAGTAAATCTACTACTCCTCCGATTCAGTGCTTGTTTCTCTTCTGATATCGCCCATCGATTGAACATGAAAGAAGAGGTTATAGAAGGGTCGGTATGAGAATTCTTTATTAGAGTCCTCTTCTATAAATCTCATCTTTCTCATCAATCTTATCAAACTTCTTTCGATATGTCCAGAGTGATCAAAATGCTCTTTCATCCTCTAGTCTAGATGAACAAAAAAATCAGAGATATTGTAAATTACATTCATAATATTTTGTACCTCGTTCTCCAGTTTCTTGATTCTGTGCAGGATCACTGGTGTCTTGTCCGGAACTAGAGGCTGAATAGGAAGTGAATTCTGAGATGATTGATCCGTAATAATAGTCATATCATTCTCATCTTCATTGGTTGGGAACTTCTGGGTTGGGTCCAAAGGCTTCCAAAATAGAAGTGCATTTTCCTAATTCTCATAAGATACTTGGAACTGACTGCAGAGTAAGAAGATTGTTGAAGGATGTCCAAGCTCATAAGTTGATCCATGAATGATCAGGCCCAAAACAGACTTCACAATTATCGATCCAATATCAATCGATAGTCTCATCTGAATACAATAATTTGATGCAGTAATTCAGAATAGCACTTTCTTTAGAGACTTTATCGATCTTCATTGTTAGTAATAGTTTTGTAGAAATGAAGAAGTGTCAGTGTTTAAAAACGAAAACGGGTTTAGAAGTGTAGCAGAGAAACTAACATACCCGTTTTCTCTCATTTCCCAGTCTTCAGTCTCGTCCGTCAAAAATTGGTAGATCTCATTCATTAGATTTCTTGTCAGGACGAAGTTTGAATAATGGCATACAGGAATATTCTCGATCATATATAACTCATTAATCCATGCAGGAGTAAAATTTATCCATCTGCCTCGCACATAGACGACTCCCTGGTTGATTCCATGCAAATTAGCATAAAACTCCTTCACCATAGGAACGACTATGGCGGCAGTAGTGTAGCACAATACTTCCCATC